AGTGGGCACGTCCCTATTCTCACCTCCTTGGTTCAGAGGCAGCTTGCTTGGCCCTCCCATGGTTCTCTCCCTTCTGGATGTTTCTCCAAGTTGAGCTCTCTCTCTTTAACACCTTTCTTCCTGTGGAGCCCCGTGTGTTTCTACAGCCTCTGGGTTGAGGGAGGGCAGGACCAGATAATCTGGTTCTAGGTGACTTGAGAGAGGAGCAACTGCAGGGCCAGGCCTGCCCACAGCACCTCCTGGGGAAGAGGTTCCTGGCCTGGCCTGGCCTGGCTGGGGGGCGGGGTGGAGGTGGGGGGGGCGGGCACTGGGAAGGGATGGAAAGTGGGGGGAGCACTTTGGGACTCAAAGATGTCAGAAGTCAACGAACGTTGTGGATGTTTCGTTGGAGGAAAGAAGGATCCAGCACCTGATACTGGAATGACTTTTTTCACTCTTTGGACAAAGTCTGGACCTCAGTTCCACCTGGCCAAGCTTGAGGCTGGGGGAGAGCGGTGGGTTCTGCATTTCCCCTGAGTCCTGTCAGCCTGTCTGTGCAGAGGAGGAGCCAGGAGTCTGTTTGCTGTGCATTCCCTTCCCCTTTCTCATCCCCCCCCTCCCCCCCTCCCACCCAAGCCTCTGGCAGGACCTCCCCTGGGGCCCCAGGTAGTTCTTCTCTTCCAGTGGAACTTCCCATAACTGTTCTGAGCTGATGTAACTCACAGTAAGGTGTGAATGGCCAAATGATTCTTCCCTGAGAATTCATTTTCCTTTTAAAGAGAGAGGGTGAATAGATTCCTCCACCCAAAGGGATCCCTTTCAGGGTACAGTTTTAGGCAGTGTGGGGTGGGGTGGGGTCGGAAGCAGACACCCTGGGGTCACACCCCTGCATGACCCTGTGCAGTGAGAGCCTGATGACCAGCCCAGACAGGTGTATTTCCTCAAATCGGGAGAAACGTAACAAATGCACTGCCCATTCCATGTGCAGCTCTCTCTGGGAGGGGGCTTTCTGACCCTGTTCTTGTCGTTGCCCCCTTGGGCCTGCAGCTTCCTGGTGGCCTGCATGATTCCAGGGCCCCAGCCGGCCCGCTTCTGGCCACGTGGCTTCTGGCTAATGCTCAGCCCAACTTTACAAGCATGAACTGAGATTCCTCCTCACTCTAATATCTCCTTATTAAGAAACCACGTTTCAAATAACTTGAAACAAACCTGAAGGCAAATAACTTTGGGGAGACACTTCACAGGAAATCCAAATCTTTGTTTTTAATAAATATTTTTATTGATTTCAGAGAAGAAGGGAGAGGGAGGGAGAGATAGAAACATCAATGATGAGAGAGAATCATTGGTCAGCTGCCTCCTGCACACTCCCCACTAGAGGGTTGAGCCTGCCACCCAGCATGTGCCCTGACTGGGAATCGAACCTGTGACCTCTTGGTTCCTGGGTTGACGCTACACCGCTGAGCCGCATTGGCCGGGCAGGAAATCTAAATCTGGAGCCACAAACCTGTCTTCCCATCGTATCCCCTGCTCGGCTTTGATGAGGAACTCTGTTTCTTTCTTGTGCCTCCTTGACTTTAGGGTCCACCCCCAGGGCAACTGCACCCTGAGCACTGCTCTTGGTCCCTGGTCCTGGGATGTGGAAGGCAGGGCCCTGGAGCCTCTTTCTAGAGGTGGCACTAGGACCAGAGACCTGCAGGTCCCCTCAGACGTCCCCCTGTCCCTCCCCAGGCCTCCCTGGGAACAGGGTGCAGAAGGTGCAAGGTTCCCATTCTTCACACACTCAGCTGCTCCTTCCTCTTCTCTGTCCGAAGCAGCCCTTGCTTTCCGTCACAGCTGCATAGCAAAGACGTGATTCTTTTAGAGAACTGCCGTGTTTTTGAGCACCGTCTTCCCAGATTCAATTTCAACTTACACTCAGTAGGATATTAGGTTGCCTGCTGCCAGGAGGTAGAACCTGGATTCTGGCCAGGTATGCCTCGGAATCAGAAAGTTTAAGGTGAGTGTTGACTCAGACAGACCATGAAACGATAAATTAAGCAGTCCTCCTTCACCCCTACCCATGTGCCCCTCCACAAACCCTGGGAATGGATGCCAAGCAGTTTGGTGGGCGCCCAGGCCCTAGGCCTAGCATCCATCACTGCTTCCTGCCTTCCGAGCCCCGTAGTGTCTAACAGCACTGTGTCTTGTGACCAACCCTTTCTGCCACCCTTGTCTATTGTGATTTTGAGCCAGCTGCTCCCCAAAGCCACTGAGGACTCTTGCCTCCTGGGCAAGGGGTCGGTTTGGTTAGCACTCTGCAGACATAACTTAATGGGCGGGAATATATTTGACATTTGAAAGTTCTGTTCGTCTAGTTGAGTCATGTCCAGGCATAAGCAGCAGGTCAGCAGGAAGCACCCATGTGATCCTGGAAGCTCTTCCTGTCTTCCTTGCAGTGGGGTCCCCAGTGCCTGTCTTCCTCTTCCTCCCCCGGAAAGAAGAAATAAGTGGTTTCTTGACTCCTAAATGCCTCCTCTCCGGAGAAAGAACCCAAGCAGGGAAGAAGCAGCACTAGAAACGTCCCCAGATACTCCTCTCTGTAGCCCTCCACCTCAGGCACAAGTATAAACATATGAGCAGTGAAAAGGTGGGGCGGGGACCGACTAAAGTGCTTGAAGAAGCGTGACAGCACATATGCGCTGCCCTTTGCCCTAGATCAGTGGTTCCCAAACTTATTTGGCCTACCGCCCCCTTTCCAGAAAAAATATTACTCAGTGCCCCCTGGAAATTAATTTTTTAAAAATTTTAATAGCAATTAAACAGAAAGATAT